TCAGGACTTGCAGAGGTGCTTGGTGATGGTGGAGGAAATACAGAATGGGTCATAGAGGAAGGTAGTTACAAATACCAACTTGGGGCATGTGACCAGTTGCAGAAACGTGGATTGTAATTGACATGAGTATTTTTGCCCTATTTGGTTAAGAATAGGCTTGTGCATGTACACACATATGTTAAGCAGATACTTGAGTTATTCTTTTTTGAATGTGTAATTGAGATGTGTTAAATGGTTCATTCTACCAGTTCTGTTTCTTTGGAGAACCCTGACTAATACAGGTAGTTACTACCTACAAACATGTCTTTAAATGAAAAATAACTTACAAAAAAGCATATCTATAATATATACACACATATATAATCACATATATCTGGTTCTAGAATGTCTTTTGGGCATTTCAGATATGATTTTGCCTTATATAAGAATGCATCTTCAGCCAGGTATGGTGGCTCACGCCTTTAGTCCCAGCACCTTCAGAGGCAGAGGGAGGCAGATCTCTGTGAGTTCAAGGCCAGCCTGGTCTGCAAAGTGAGTTCCAGGCCAGCCGGGGCTACAAGGAGACTCTGTCTCAAAAAGTCTCAAAAAAAAAAAAAAAAAAAAAAAAAGAATGCATCTTCTTTAGTATACTATATAATGGCAATGAATTATCACTTCATCTTTTGTCAAATCATATTATAAGTCACTTATTTTTAAAGTATTTTTTAATTTCTTTTTGAAGCCAGACATGGTGATACACAACTGTTTATGTTTGGACAACATGGTGCTGATATGAATTTCCAGCATGAGTCAAGATGGCTAACACTAGACATCTGGAGGGCAATGAATCAGCACAAAATGTCTGACACTGGATGTCCAGGAACCCCAAAAGTAAACAGTGATGTAATCTGTTATATAACCAATTTTGGAAAAAGCCACCTTTGTGTGATATATAAAAAGTACTTGGGACCAAGGGCACATATGCTCTTGCCCAGTGTCCACCTGTGCAGCAGCCTGTATGCCCTTTCCCAGAGAAAACAAAACATGTCTCATCTGCCAGCAGTTCCATGATTCTTCTTTAATTTTCTGTCTCCCCTCGACCCTTCATTCTTGGCCCTCAAACTTGGCCTCAACACATATAATCCCAGTACTCAGGAGGTGGAAGCAGGAGGATCATATGCTCAAGGCCTGAACTACATAGTGAGCTTGGGCTGCATAATGAGACCCTGTTTCAGAAAAATAAAAAGAATATTTTGGTTTTTGAACCTATAGATTCCGAGAGGTTAAAATTTCTTTGGGGAACTGGGTAAAAGCTAATATGTCATGTGTGTAATAACAAAAAAATATTCCAGAATAGAGAGGCAATGCTTGAATAACTCATTTGTAAATGAGTTTGTAAATAACTTGAAATTTGTAAATAACTTGAAAGAATAGTCATTACTTTAAACATAGGCCTTAAAAGGCCATTTGTGGTAATGAAGATCAACAGTTAGAAAAGCCTTTACATTAAAATATTTTTGATTTATTTATTTTTAATTTATGTGTATGAGTATTTTACCTGCACATATGTAAGTGCACAATGTGTGTGCAATGCTTACAGATGCCAGAAGAAGGCATTAGATCCCCTGGAACTGGAATTACAGACAGTTGTTAGCCCTGGGTCTTCTGCAAGAGTAGCCAGTTAGTGTTCTTAACTACTGAGCTGTCTCTCCAGCTCCAGCCTCTACACTTCTGTTACTCCACGGATTTTTCTCCTTAGCTCAACTAGTCTAATATTTTCATAAATATCTAGTACATGAAAATACTACAGCTTAAAAATAGAAGACATTATGAAAATATTTTTATAATAAAGTCTGCTACTGACATAATGCTATTGACAATTTAGCTGTCAAGTTTTGTGACCTTGGGCTAGTTATTTTCTTCTCCAAGCTTCAGTTTCTTCCTTATTGAAAGGTTTAATTGAAATAATAAAGCACTTGACAGAGTGTCTGGCACATAGTTAAGTGTTGAATAAATATTAACAACTATAATTATGACTACTTTTAGTATTAGATAACAGAATTGCACTGTCATTAGAAATTTACTGGGAAAAGTAGTTCATGTAACCCAAACAACAAAGATATGGTTGTATCAAAAGGTCAATTTATTCATTTACAGTGAGAAAAATAACTGCCAAGCTGATTGCAGTTCATACACCCAGCTTAACACTTCTCCCTCCAAAAGGAAGCATACTTGGGAAACCAAATGAGATTAGGAGTTTGCTTAGGTAGTGTACTAAAATCAAGCCAGAAGGATGACTGCTTTCTTTTTGCCCTATTTCTCATTCAACATCTAACTTCTCTATTGCTGCTACAATTTAATATTCCTAAAACAATTATTTTACTTGCTCTTCTAATAAAAAATCTGCATTAATACAAAATAAAGCATAAATTCTTTAGCCTGTCTTTAAATTTTATTTATTTATTTATTTTTTATGTGTATGAGTGTTATGCCTGCCTATGTGTTAGTGCAGTGCCCATGGAGGACAGAAGAGGGCATACCCTGGAACTGGAGTTATGGATGGTTGTTAGCCACCATATGGGCGCTGGGAATTGAATCAGGGTCTTCTGCAAGAACAGCCAGTGCTTTTAACCACTGAGCCATCTCTCCAGCCCCTGGCCTGGCTTTTAAGATCCAAATTAATCTGTTCCCAAAGTTCCTATACAATTTTATTTCCTCCTTTTGACCAACATGAGTTCTTCACTCCAGAAAGGATGGCATATTATTTTCTGAAACATGTCATGCTTATTTCTCATTCTGAGGCAGGAGATAAACTAGTTTTTCCTCATGATATTTTTCCTCTTTTATGAGCCTTTTCATCATTCAAGGACCAGCTTAAGTCTCACCTCCTGAGAGGAAATATACAAGTTATTTCAGAGTATACAAAATCCCTAAACTACCACAATTTGAATTATTATATTCTTTTGTGGGAGGAAGGGTTGAGACAGCATTGCTTAGACTGGTCTGGAACTCACTATGTAGCCCAGGCTGGCCTCAAACTTTTGACAATCTGCCTGCCTCAGTCTTCCACTCTTTTATACATATGTGTAATTATAGGTATACTGATTTAAATACCATAAATCTTATTTTCCTAATCAGATTACAAACTTCTGGAAGATAAAGTTCATGCTTTTGTTCTCATAAAACAACACAACAACTCTTAATGATAAATAAATGATGTATTAACTAATGTTGTGGGACATGCTAAACTGGCCCAGGTAAATCTAACAAAGTTTTCTGGCACTGACATGCTGTTGTAGCCTGTTATATCTGAATCTTAAATGTCCCCCAAAAGGTCATGTGCTGAAAGAGTGATCATCAACCATTTGATCTATTAGGAGGTGGAAGAACTACAGATATCAAAAACAATGAAATCAACATCTAAAACTGTAAGCCAAAATAAATCCTTAGTCCTTTTAAGTTTATTTTCTCAGATACTTTGTCATCACCACAGGAAGATGATTAACACACTCCCTCAGCTTTAGTTTTACAATTACATCACAAGTTTTCTAATTGTTTCAGGAAGTAGATGTCTAACAAAGAACCAATTCTTTAAACATCTTTTTGTTTGATTTCTTTTACTCTAGTAGTTAGACATGAAAAAGCACCCAGTAAATAACTGTAATTGTTTAATTTTTCTGAATATCTTAAGTCCATCCGGCAGTTAAAATGTAGCATGCGCCAATTAACTAAAAACTGCTACTACAAAAGTTAAAATCACAGTTCTGAAGTAACTCACTAAATGATCATTGATTTTCTTTTAATTCTTAACAAATACCTTAGATGCCTTGTGTGTTCTGATGACATGAGAGAGTTGAGCAGTAGCCATTGAGAATGAATCAGGATTCTTTCAACAATTCTAACCTGTTAAAAAAATTAATTAAAGATCTTGCCTAATATAATACTTCCTATTTTGTTCTTTCCAAAGATGGAACTGAATTCTAAAATCAAACCAAAAACAGAAAATCAAAGGCAGTTGAGTATAGGCTATTTCCCAGACTATTCAGTTTAGAGAGAAATTTACCAAGGTCAATTTTGGAAATGCAAGAGAAAAATTAAACTAAAATAGTCCCATCAGGCCCTATCAAAACTATAAAAATGAATCTGAGTTGAAAAATCCTTGTTGTGAATTTTCCAAATGAGAAGTATATAATTATATGTTAACCGTATTCTCTGGCAAATAAATTTAATAACCATTTTCATTTTCATTACTAATATATAATCTCTAAATTTGGCATAAATATAAAGTCTCTGAATTAATATTTCAACCACCCAATAAAAGTTACACAATTTACTCACTCATAAATATATTCTCAGGAGAAAAATAAGTTATAAGTCATCTTAAGATTCTGAGCCCAGGAGTTTGAGGTCAGCTTGGACAACTTAGACAAGACCTCATCTTAAAAAAAAAAGTGATGGATGTACAAGCAAAATGTGATATATAGCATATACAAGGGAATATTATTCAACCTTTAGAAAAGAATGAAATTATAGTAACATGCTACAATGTAAATGTGCACATGAACTTTGAAAGCATAAAGTTTTGGGTTTTTTTTAAAGCCAGATACAAAAGGACAAATAGGGCTGGAGAGATGGCTCAGTGGTTAAGAACACTGGTTGTTCTTGCAGAAGACCTGGGTTCAAATCCCAGCACCCATGTGGCAGCTAACAGTTGTCCATAACTCCAGTTCCAGGGGATCTGACGGCCTCTTCTGTCTTCCATGGGCATTGCATGACACGGGTGCACTTACCTACATGCAGGCACCACATGCATACACAATAAAAATAAAAAATAAAAAAATAGAAAAAAAGGAAAAATACATCACACATACAAGGTACCTATAGTAAAGTAAGCAAACACATGCAAACAGAAAGTAGAACAGAGGTTGTTAGGGCTGGGGTTGGGGTAGATTTATTGGGAGCTTAATAGGAACAGAGTTTCTATTCAAGGATGATGGAAAAGTTTTAAACAGAAAGTGGTTGGTGATTGTTACTTAACATTGTGAATGTGCTTAACATTATACATTTGAGAATGGCTGAGGTAATTATTTTACATTATGCACAGTATATCACAATTAAATTTTTTTAATTTTATGTGTATGAGTGTTCTGCCTATGTGTTTTTAGTGCACAAAGTGTGTGCAATGCCCACAGAGGCCAGAAGAGTGCTCAGAACCCCTTGAACTGAGCTACAGGCAGCTATTAGCTGCCATGTGGGTGCTGGGAATCAAACCCTGGTCCTCTGCAAGAGCAACCAGTGCTCTTAACCACTGAGCCATCTTTCCAGCCCCCCTTTTTTTCTTTTATTAAATATATGTTTAATATTTTATAATTTTGTATATATTTTATAATGTTTAAAAAGTTGATGTTGGAGTTGGAGGGAAAAATCAAAGCTAAAAATCAATAAGTAAATCATCATTTTAACTAATTTTAAAAAACACAATTCTTATTTTATGCATATGAGTATATTGCCTGCTTGTATGTAAGTGCACCCATGTCATACATTGCCCTCGGAAGTCAGAAGAGGACACTGGATCCCCTGGAACTGGAGTTACAGATGGTTGCTAGCTGCCAGGTGCATGCCAGGATCAAAACTTGGGTCCTCTGCAAGAGCAGCCATTGCTCTTAACCACTGAGCCATCTCTCCAGCCTCCATTTTTTTGTTGTTTTATTTTTTGAGACAGGATTTCACTATGTAGACCTGGTTGGCCTGGAACTCACTAGGTAGACCAGGCTGGCCTAGAACTCCTGCCTCTGCCTGAATGTTAGGATTAAATGTGAGCACCACCACATCTGGCTGAATTTTAACAATTTTAAAAGTTGATCATAAAATATGTACTTTTATAGTGTTAAAAAAAAAGTAATGACTAGGGATGCAGTTCAGTGGTAGAGCACCTGCTTGAAATGTGCAAGGTGACTGGAGAGATGGCTCAGCGGTTAAGGATACTGACTGCTCTTACAGAGGACCGAGATTTGATTCCCAGCACCCACATGGCTGCTAACAACCATCCATGACTCCAGCTCCAAGGGATCTGACACCTTCTTCTGACCTTGGGTTTGCACAACACGGGTGCACTTAGACAAATGCAGGTAATACACTCATACACATAAAAAATAAAAATAATAAAATATTAAAAAAAGAATTGTGCAAGGCCCTAGTTCAATCCCCAGGACCAAAGAAAGGGGGTTGTGGGATAAGAGAAAAGAAGTAAATCTTCCATTTTCTTTCCAAAGGCCTTAATTTTATTTCAGTTTGGGTTTATTATCAAGACCTGGAAGATGGAATTATAACTAAAATACTTATTATAATAACTCACTTTAAAAGAGTTCCATTTAAATTCCATTCTGGATCATCTAGGGTAGTCTGTTACCTGTTATTAGCAATTAGTGAAAAATTCTGAAGATTTTTGCCAAAAGGTTATAATTATTTGAGGACATTGTTACAAGGTAGTGTTAGAGATTATAAACAGATACTATTTAATTTCTCTTAAACAACTTCTTGAAAGCAGCACTAGGGGACACTATTGTAATATTTTTACTAGAGGCTGAAAACTGCCTAATGGTCCTTGAGCCCTTAAACATTCTGTTTTCTTTTGTTGACTTCAGAATGTAGCCTTCAAATCTGACTGGACACATCTGTTGCCTCCCTTAAATTTTAAGAAGTAAGGAGGGGAGAAAAAGGTGGCTGTAAGAATTTAAGCTCTAGTTGGGGTAGTTATTAGTTTTAGAGACAATAAGAGGAATGATGATTTTTAAATCTTTCTATATTGATAGGATTTAAAAATTTTTCTCCATAATTATATTTCTGAAGGCATGTCAAGAGAATTAAGCCCTAAAATAGCATCAGGTGATTAGACCACCATGCATTGCTATACCTGTAATTTTAGAATATACAGATAGCCTGGGTTAAATTTACATCACTGAGAACACTGAGACCTCCAGGGTAGTTGCTTTGAGAAAGGATTCAAAATGTACTCTATTAGCAGTCAGTAAATTCCTTAGGGATTAATATTTATAAAACAAGTAAAACCAAATCTTACACAACACAAATTGATATACACATGGGGGTTGTATAATCTAGTAGAAATATACTTAGGTATTAAGGAATCTGAGTTGAAATTCTGGGTGAACTACCTAGAATTTGTGTAATTCTGGTTAAATCTCTCTGGGATTTGGTTTTCTTTTTTGTAAATGTAGACATAGACCTAACTGTTCAGATTTTATTCAATGTTCATCTGAAGTAACAACATAGCATAGTGGTTAAACACAGACTTTCTGAAACAAAACTGCCAAAGATCACATTTCAGTGTATAATTTATTGACTATGTGACCTTGGGCAAGCTGTTTGCCTCGGTTTCCCATCTATACAACAAAAATTATAACAGTGCCTACTTCACAGGATTATCTCAAGATTAAATTTAAGTGATTAAATTAATATGGCACTTGGAACAGTTTCTGATACACATTTTATTACATGTTTCAAAGCATGCCTACTTTTTAAAAAAAATCTTAACTTGGGGGGCTGGCAAGATGGCTCAGTGGTTAAGAACACTGACTATTTTGCAGAAGACCCAGGTTCAAATCCCAGTACCCACATGGCAGCTAACAACTGTTCATAACTCCAGTTCAAGGAGATCTGACAGCCTCTTCTGTCCTCCGCACACATTGCACAACACAGGTGCACTTACCTACATGCAGGCAATACACGCATACACATAAAATGAAAATAATTAAAATATTTTTTTTAAATCTTAACTTGGTCTAGAGAGATGGCTCAACTGAAAATGTATGACTCAACCCTGACTTTTCTCATTAGTCTGTCCAATCGGCTTAATATTTCTCATGCCTATCAACTTGAGAGGGGTCTTGTTGATGATGATGATGATGATGTTTTTGAGATAGGGTTTCATTACAAAGCCGTGGCTGCCTGGAATTTGCTATGTAGCCCAGCCTGGCCTTGAACTTGAGTTGATCCTGCTCCCTATACCTCTCAAGTGCTGGGATTACAAGTGTATACCACCATGCTAGGGCTGTCACCTCTATTATAATCAGAGCAGGCTCAGCTTTTGCCTGGATTGCTACAACTACCCCTCTGCCCATTACTGTCCTCAGTCATCTCCATGCTGTTTTGTTGTTGTTGTTGTTGTTGTTGTTGTTTTGTTTTTTAATATACTGCTAGGCTTTTCTTTTAAAATTACAATCTTGATTATGTATTATTTCCCAAACTAAAGTACTTCCATAGCTTCCCTACTGCCCTCAGGGGAAAAAATACCCAAACTCCTTACCATGGCTTCCAAGATTTGCCTGATGTCTCCCTGACTACATCTTCAACAATTTTCCCTTGTACTTTTATGTACCAGCCATTTGTATATACTTTGTTTACCCTGAAGAACTGTATTTCCCTCTGTCTTTCAGGCTTTGGCAATATCCCCCTCCTCTGAAACATCCTCCTCCATTCTCAATTCCTACTCCTCTCCTGAATATGGTTTAGTATAGTTTTTTCAAGGAATGACGTTCTGATTCCCACTACAAAGTCCAAGTGAAATGCCCATTGCAATCCACTGTGTATTATAGCTACTTTGTGTATCTGACAAACTACTATGAGCTAACAGGGTGTAGTTTATCTATCTAGCTCATTATTTTTAAAGGATTTTTGTTTGTTTGATTTTGTTTTTTGAGACAGGGTGTCAGTATGTAGCTCTGACTGGTGTAGAACTCACCATTAAACCAGGCTGGCCTTGAACTCACAGATATCTGCCTTCCCCTGCCTCCTGAGTGCTGGGATCAAAGCCACTGTGCCCAGCTAAAGGGTTTGTTTTTGTTGTTTAAGGGTTTCAAAGGGTTTCAGTGTATTTGCAAAGTTATGCAACCATTACCACTCATTCACCTTTAAAAGAAGCCTCAATGCCTGTGAGCAATCACTCTCCTTCTGTCAGCCCCCGGGACCCCAATATGCTTGTTTTGGAGACAAGGTCTCACTATGTAACCCACAGTGGCCCTGAGCTCACTATGTAATACAGGCTAGACTCAAACTCATGATCCTTCTGCCTCAGCTTCCTGAATGCTAGGAGTTCAAGCATGTGGCACCATGTTTGGTTTCTAATCTATTTTTCAACTTTATTGATTTGCATATTCTGGACATTTAATATAAGTTCAATCATATGTGACCTTTGTGTCTTGTTTAGCTGAATTATTTTTTTCCTTTCCAAAACTTTTGAGAAACAAGAACAAAAAGATATGACAGAGAAAAGTAAAATATAGACTCCATATTTGTCGATACAAAAGGTATGTGCTAGCCAGGTGTGGTGATACATGCCTTTAATCCCAGCACTTGGGAGATAAAGGCAGGTGGATCTCTGTGAGTTCAAGGCCAGCCTGGTCCACATACTGAGTTCCAGGCCAGCTGGAGCTACAGGGAGACCCTGTCTAAAAAAAAAAAAAAAAAAGATAAGTGCTACAAAAATGTCTAAATAATCAAATTGATAGTGATTATGGACTAATATTATAAAAGGAACTCTATGAGTATTCTTAAAAAGAAACTGATAATTACTATAGGTTTATAAAGATTATATCTCAAAAGGTTAGCTGAGCTTTTAATTCTTAGTATTATTGCAGTTTTGGAACAAAACAGGTGCTCAATAAATATTTGTTGAATCAATGGAGAAGCACTAGAGAAACAAAAAAGAATTAAGGGTCTAGGAAATAATCACAATATTTTAAAGTTAGAAAAGTACTTTAAATGTCAGCTAGTCCAAATATGTCTTTTTGTAGATCAATATCCCAAGAAATCATTTATTTACCTACAGTCAATCATTGGTTTAACCTAAAACTGAAGAAGTTTGACTCAATGCAAGAGCTTTTCTAGCTTAACTCCCCAAAATAAAAACCCCTTTGGTTGCCCTTCATCTAGTATGAGGCGCTGCCCGTGCTTCCCTAGTTGCTGGCTTATTTGTTACTACACAAAGTATAGTCTCTTTCTGGTGTTTCAATGAGCTTATTTCAGGAAGGTTAAAAAGACTCAAATGATTTTTCAAAATAGACCGGCTCCTTTTAAACTCTATTATTGTGTTGCTCTCCCTTTGAGCAGGTGTTTTATGGAGGTCTCTTATTCAGGCAGAAGCCCTGCTTAATTTTGAAAGCTCACAAGTTGACAGTACCAGAAGACATGTATGACACCACAGATCACGCATTCTCAGAGAATATCTCTGATGTGTTTTTTCAAACACCTTGTTTTGATTTTATTATCTAAAAACCTAGAAAATATTTTTAATACTTTATTATTTTTATTTTATGTGTATGCATGTATTGCCTGCATGTAGGTAAATGCACCTGTGTCATGCAATGCCTGAGGAGGACAGAAGAGGCTGTCTGATCCCCTGGAACTGGAGTTACGGACAGTTGTTAGCTGCCATGTGGGTGCTGGGCCTCAAACCGAGGTCTTCTGCAAGAATAGTTCTCTTAACTGCTGAGCCATCTCTCCAGCCCCTAGAAGAGATTTTATAACTAAGGATGTTTAAAACTCTTTCAAATCTTTTGTTTATAAATGTGCTTGAATATTTGATTCACAAACATCTAAAACTGCACAGGCCATTAATATTATCCACTTTTGTGTTTGATATGTCCACTCAATGACAATGATGATGATCTTGAAAAAGAGGCAAGATTTCTGTGTTCCTTGTGAAAAAATTCACTCTGGGCTTACCCCTTGACCCACATCTCAAGTACCTTATTTTAAACAGTGGCACAATTACTATTTTACCCCACTTATATGCTAGTGCACGATTCAGATAAAGACTTTCTGGTGTTGTTTTATTAAGACCCAAACAATTTTTCTATCTTTTTTAATTGGGCCATTCTAATTGAAGCAAAAACCAGTTGAACATGTTTGCATAAAGATATTTGATTATATTCGATTTACTAAGGCTCTCTATCCAATTTTCCCTACTATTCTAAGACTACCTTTTTAAATTAGAAAATACCCTCCTTTTCCTTTCTCCCTCTCTCCCTTCCTCTTTTCTTTCATTTGCTTTCTGAGGTAAGGTCTCACTATGTAGCCCAAGTTGGACTTGAACTGGTGGTAATCCTCCTGCCTCAGTCTCCCAATTGCTGGAATAGATTAAAGGCATAAGCCACCATGCTTGACTTGAAAAATCCCCTTTCTATCAAGTAAACAATATTCAATATTTAGATTCTGAGATGCAACAAGGTGACCTTCCTTACATGTTTGATCTGAAGAGAGCACATATCAGCACAAATAGATTCTAAAAACTCATAAAGCTGGAAAGGAACTGAAACATGCTCTACTGCTATTCTAACCCCTTCATTTTAAAGAAGAGGAAAACCAATTCAGAGGAAAATAGTCTTTTCAAGAAATGGTGTTGAAACAGGAGATAGTCACAGGACGAGGGAAGGAGGAGGGAGGAGGAATTCAACCTAAATCTCATACTAAATACAAATATGAATTGAACACAGATTAAAATGTAAAACAAGGTCTGGGGTTATAGCTCAGTGAATAAAGTGCCTGCTATGTAAGCAGGAAGACCTGAGTTAGGATCCTCTGTATCCATATTAAAAGCATGCACCTACCATCCCAGCTCTGGGAGGCAGAGACAGGATTATCTGGAGACTTGCCAGCCAGTCAGTCTAGCCAACCGGTGAGTTTCAAGTTCGATGAGAGACTCTGTCTCAAAATACAAGGTGGAGGGTGATAGAAGACATCTGACATCAACCTTGGGCTTCCACATAGACACAAATAAAATGCAAAATGTAAAACAATAAAGAAAAGGGAGTGAAGATCAGCACAGGAATTTGATTTGCCAATGTTCTTAATAAACCTTTTTCAGAGCTTGCTTGAATAAGTTATTAGCCACCATTTTAACAAATTCCATTTGGCCCTGATAATTCAGCTACTTCATGCTTACTCAAAGTAAGTGGTTTCCACTGTACTAATTGGGTATTCATGCTCTTTTAAGTTTTAAAATATCTTGTTCATGCAATTTCCACTATTCTTTCACTCAACAGTTATTAGACAATTGCACTGTGCCAGGTAAAATGTGGGGTTACAAACTGTATAATATGCTTCCTCTCCCAAGAGATTTATAATCTGGTGAGGGAGAAATTAGATTATCATTTAAATGAGACCTAAAACCCTTTTAAAGGTTATTTTGTTTTCACCAAGTTAGTACATGATGCACAGCACAGCCCATCTAATGCTCTGCACATTTGAACACATTTTAGTGATTAGCTAATCTTGAGTTTCAATATACTCCAATGCTTGTGCTGTTTGGCAAACTAAGGACCAAAGAAATTAAATGGCAAATGCTCAGTAAGGACATCCCAGGGGGACTCATCCCAACTTCTCTTGTCTCTTGTTCTATATCATGTATTGAACACACACTTCATGACTGGAGAAAAGCTGACCCAGACAAGATAAACTCCAAGAGTTTCAGGTACAACTCCATCTAGTATATAAAAATTGTCTCCCAACTGCACAGTGGGTAATTCTGATTGCAGCTTCTTCAACAAGATAATGTCTCCATTTCCTCAAAAATCAGAAAAAAATATTAGTATTTTGGTTACCACAAAAAGAATGGGTCCTATTGTGGTATTTTCTCAATATATACATACATATATGTGTGTGTGTGTGTGTGTGTGTATATATGTAATATACAATATATATTACAGTCCCCAAATGTCCTTCAATGTGGATCCATCCAATGGACCCACCAAGAGTCCAATCCCCTCACTATTCTCTTGAAGGTTCCCCAATAGTTTCCCTTTGTGCTTTTTAAAAATTGCGACCCTTTCTTATTCTCCCTCCCCTCCTTTTCTCCCTCTTCTCTCTCTCTCTCTTCTCTCTCTCTCTCTCTCTCTCTCTCTCTCTCTCTAACTTAAATGTAGATTCCCCATATGCGGAAAAACATGTGACATCTGTCTTTCTCAGTCTGGCGTAATCTCACTTAAACATAGTGATCCCCAGTTTCAATTTTAAAAAAACTCTGAATCTTAGAGCTATGCAAGTAGTGGGAATTTGCTGGCCGTGGCGGCACAAGCCTTTAAATAAATAAATGAATAGATGGTAGATAGGTAGGTAGATAGATAGATAGATAGATAGATGGATAGATAGATAGGTTGATAGATTGATTAAATGGTGGTTGAGGTTTACCAGTCCATTTCTCTTTCACACACAGACACACACTTTTTTTTTAATGTGTGAAAATGTTCATCATCAAGGGTGGAGTCAATGTTACCTGAAGCTTCCGGCCCTCCTCTTTCCTCCCTGCTCTGTTTTCCCTTCTCAGAGTTTTCTGCAAGTTACTTTCAAATAACAGAACGACAACGCCAAAGTTTTGACCCAAGGACCACAGAACTAACCTTCCCCCAATGCCCTTCCTCCGAGACTTCGCGAGGCAGGTGACGGTGCTGGCTTTCTCCTCAGCGGTCAAGGCCTTGAGGCCTCCTGATCAACCGTTTCTCCCTTCTGCAAGCTCCGCCCCTCTGGTCATGAATAATCAATGAGACACCCCACCGAACACGTCACCTCATGAATAATTCATAAGCCCCTACTGGCTCTCCTTGGTCAGCCTCGTGAATATGCAAAAGAGGGGCTAGAGGTGGCTAACCGGGACTGGCTATGGGCGGGGCCACGCCGGCTCGCACCTTTCCGGCAGGTGCAGGAAACCAGGTGCGGAGCTCTGCAGGCAGCCCGACTGCGTGAGGATTCACAGCGCCTTCCGTCCCGCCCGATGCCCGCCTGGGCCTCCTGCAGGGTGAAGAGTCCACAGCCTGCCTCCCCGGTGAGGCCAGGTGAGGCCCGAGGGACCTTGGGTCCCCGACCGACTAGAGCTCTGCAGTGGCCCGAGGCTCAACTTTGCATCCTTGGGGTGTCCCTCACCTCCTTACTAGGCCTGAACCTCCGTATTCTTAGCACTAGTGTTTAGCTCTGCAAATCAAGCATGACTGTGTTTGCCTTACTTTGCCCCTTCTACAGCCCTGGCAGCCATGACTCCTCAGATACTTTCCTGTCTAGATACATACTTACTTAGCACCCTCTGGAGCTTTCCAGACGTTTCTGAAGTCCCCTGAACCTCCTCAGTGGGATTTCCTGAGGCAGTAGATGAATGAACCACTTGACACTTAGTTTTTTTTGTTTGTCTGTTTGTTTGTTTTGTCTTTTTGAGACAGGGTCTCTCTGTAGCCCCAGCTGTCCTGGAACTCACTATGTAGACGAGGCTGGCCTCCACCTCACAAAGATCAGCCTGCCTCTGCCTCCAAAGTGCTGGGATTAAAGTCATGCGCCACCACAGCCGGCTTATAAAGACACTTAGTGTTTTATCCCTGCAGGAAAGGGGGGAAATTGAGGCTAGTGAGAACATGAGTTTAGCACATAATGAGTAAAACCACAATATGGGCTAAAATACTACTTTAGTGCAGATTTTCTCTACCTCTGCTATCGTATCCTTCTCTCCAGTCTTGACAATCAAAACTGTTTCCAGACTGCCAACTGTCCCCTGGAGCAAAATCACTTTCAGTTCAGTCCTACACTTTCCACAAGCTTTTTAAGCTCCAACCACAGCCCATTCCAGCCTTAAAATTAACTAGCTGGACCATGAGCCCTTCCTTTATGCTGGCTGTCCTAATTGTCATCTGCCTTCAAGGCTGAGCTCTGCCAACTCTCACCATGTTCAAAGACCTCCCTCTTTGCCCCTCCACTAGTGGCCATCAATCCTCTTCACAGTTCTTTTCTCCCACTTTTTATTATTCTGTTTTCTTCATAGAACTTAATACAAGTTTCATGTCTTTGTTCATATGTTCTTTCTATCTAGAATGTTCATAAGCTAAATCATCTTCATTGGAGGCCTGGTCTGGTTGAACTACAATCCCAGAATCTCACATTCAAGATAGTGCCTAACAAACAATAGGCACTCGACAAATATTGGAGGACCAAGTGTGATGATGCGTGCCTATAATTCCCAGACATTTGGAAGGTTGAGACAAGAGGATCACAGTTTGAGACCACTCTCAGGAGGATCACAATTTGAGACCACTCTGAGCAGTTTAGTAATCCCTGTCTCTAAATTTAAAAACAAGGTGCTGGAGAGATGACTCAGCAGATAAGAGCACTGACTGCTCTTGCAGAGGACCAAGATTTGATTCCCATCACCCATATAGCGGCCAACAACAGTCTGTAACTTCAGTTTCAGGAGAATTTGAGGACCTCTTCTGACCTCTTTTGGCATTGCACATTATGGAGATTTTATATATATATATATATAGTATGTATGCTATGCAAGCAATGAAGTCATACACATAAAATATAAAAATAAATAAATAACAAACCAAAAAGATAAAAAGAGGAGGGGTACTGCAGAGTGCCTTGACCCTACATGAGACATCTTCATTATACCTTCTCCTCCCAAGACTCAGGGATGATTGTGGAAGAAGGGGCAGAAAGATTGTAAGAGCCAGAGGCAGTAAATGAGTATATTGAAAGTGTTTTCCAGACATAACAGGGCAATTGCACCTATGAACTCACAGTGGTTATAACAGTATGCACAAGACCAATGCAGGATCTAGCCAGACAAAATTCCAGCAGGTCTAGTTGAGGAACTACTGGTAATAACTACTGAGAGAGAAAGAGTCTTTTGTCTTTAAGGATGTGACCCCTGGTAGGTTGACCATGATCCAGTGGGTGGTCCTGCACCCAAGAGTATGTGGGAAGCACAAATTGGACTTGATGGGGTTTAATTTTTATTTATTTTTATGTGTATGAGTGTTTTGCCTATATGTAAGTGCTTCACATGTGTGCAATGCCCACAGAGACCAGAAGAGGCATCAGATCCCCTGAAACTGGAGTTGTTAGTCACCATGTGGGTGCTGGGAACTGAACCAGGGGCCTCTGGAAGAGCAGACAGTGCTCTTAACCACTAGGCCATCTCTCCAACCCCTTTATTATTATTTTTTTAAAGGACGGGTGATGGAAATGCAGGAAGCAGGTAATGTGGTGGGAGCAGATCTAGGAGGAGATGGGGGAGAAGTCAGGGTGAATATAAACAAAATACATTGTGTGGCCAGACATGATCCCAGAGCTTGGGGGACAGAGACAGGGGATCTCTGTGAGAGCTAGGCCAGCCTGATCTACATAGCAAGTTCCAGGCTAGCTGGGGCTACAGGTAGACCATGTCTCAAAAAACCAAACAAACCAAAAAATCCAAAATACATTGTACGAATTTATCAAAGAATTAGTAAAATACATTTTAAGAGGTGGGGTGCAGATATTTAAGGTCAGTATAAGAACACCTGCCCAGCCAGCATAAGGCCCTGGGTTCAACTGTCAGTATATTGAGAACAAATAAATATTAAACATTAGTAAAATGAATCAATAAATTGCCTTCTCTGCCCTCTAATTTCTCTGTGGTGTTTCTCGTCTTTCCCTTGCTCATGCCTTGCTGGCTTCTTGTGACTTTTGTTTAGAATCAGAATGAATGAATAAGCATCTGTCCCTAACCCAGGGGAAGAGCTACTGGCAAAGCCTTACCCTTTCCCACTGACTTGTCAACTCCTTGAGGGCAGAAGAAGTTAATTTTACTTCTTGTTTTATGTTCATTGAAAGTATTCAAGTAGATAATTGAATGAACTAATCAGTGACTTAAAGAAAAAAGTCAGACAATTAAAAATTGATAGTACAAGTGGAGGCTTTGTTTTTCCCTTAGTTTGTTCCTTTGCTTTGCAGATAAGAGTTTAAGTAATTTTCTCAAGGTCCCTAAGCTTATTAAGAGATCAGGCCACAAGGAAAACCCTTGGTCTCACATCTCTCATTTCAAGGCTCTTTCTTGTCTCTAGCCAGGCTAGTTTCTGGTTACTTTTCTGCAAACCAAATTACAACTCAAACACAGAAATCCCAGATCAAACTTTTCAACTAAAGGCTTCAAGCTTCTGTCTTTGGTTAAATACAACTCTGGGATAATAAATGACCCAGTGAACTCAAACATTCTATAGGAGATGGGCATGTTCGCACGCCTTTCATCCCAGCACTCAGGAGGCAGAAGCAGGCTGATCTCTGTGAGATCTAGGCCAGCCTGGTCTCCATAGCAAGTTCCAGACCAGCTGGGGCTATATGGAGACCCTGTCTCAAAAAAGGCAAACAAACAAAGTTCTATGTGGCTCTCAAACAATTTTACCACCTGCAGCAGCAGCTACTTCCTCCTCTTCCTCCTCCTCCTCTTATTGTTCTACTGCTCCTCTTCTTCCTTTCCTTTTTTCTCTTAGATTTCGGTAAAAACTGGAAATTGTCCCTACCAAAGCAAAGTATCTTGTTTGTTTTGGAAGAGAAAAATGTGCACTGTTTTAGCGACTGATTATTATCTAGAATTTTTCAAATTCTCAGAATTTTGACTTTTGTCAAAAATTAGTGATTCTTAAAGTTTTGAGACCTATAAGTAAAATAGCACATGAAACAGATGAAATGAGGAATGGGGAGGAATCACACTTGAGATGGCTTTCATTGGCCAATGTAACTTTTCTGTACTTAGAAACAGTTGTGACATCCATCAGTCTCTACATAGATCCTCATCTTTTGAGTACTCAAGCCTGTTTTTCCTTCTCAGTTAAAGGTGGTTTTGTTCTGTCATTTTCTTTTCTTGACCTTTATAGGCAGCATCTGGTACCAGTCTTATGGACTCATGCTGCCAGCTTTTAGAATCTCAGTTTCTTCTGAGGCATGTGATAGCACAGAGTGTCACAGGAAGCACAGCTACCTTTCACCTAATTAGATTGATTGAAACTTTGCTCATTACATTTAGTTTAATCTTGGAAATCTTCAGAAGATGGTACACTTGAGAGTTGTCAGAGTAAACATCACTGAATATAAAATTTATCCCAAAGAGGACATTTCTAGAGGCATCTCCCTCTTCAGTGTACACAAATAACAAACAGAGAAAAGAGATTGGGGTACAGAGAACAGCCAAAGAGGAGGGGTAAGTTACTTGTCATCTGTGCTTTCAGCCTTTATTAGAATGCCTAAAATCACCATAACTTCCAGCCATGAAGCTGACACTACTTTATTTACTTATTCTGCAAGTACTTATTTTGCACTGGCCATTTATAAAGCACTCTAATTAGCACTGTGGGGATCAGAGAAATAATGACTTGGACCTTGAGCTGTGGAAGTTTATAGCTTAGTGGAAGAATGCCTCCAAATATACTACGAACATAGAAAATAGTTTGCAAATAGTAATGGGAATAGACTATGACAGAGGGCAGAGACGAAAA